ATTCCCAGCACTCTGCCGGAACCGGTAGAGGCTGTAAAGGTGCACGCAGTGAAGGACTTGACTTGACTCGTTGGCAGACTTCGCATGCGCGAACATACTTTCGCACAAACTGATACTGGCGGGGCCAGTAAAAGTCTCGACTTACCGTGAGATATGTTTTCTCTCGGCCACGATGTCCTCCTATAGGAGCATCGTGATACTCGAACATGATCCGCAAACGCAGATCAGTATCATCTGGAATGACAACACGTGGTGTGTCACCAGAAACGGCTGTATAGTACAGTAAACCGTTACGAGTAGTGTATCTATCTGATGCAGATCGATACGCAGGCGACAATCGTTTCAACGATTCTCGAGATGGTTGGGAGAGATGTGACAACAACTTCACTATCTCACCATCTTGGGCGTATGCCCGCCTCACATCATCATACAACGTTGTAGATGGAACTGAGGACGTCATAACCGCAACAGTGACTGTCTCACTGTTGGGTTTCGCGACTGTTTCAAAGTCGGGCCGACGTGAGAGTGCATCAGCGACGACATTAAGTCGTCCTGGTTTGTACTCGACCGTAAAGTTGTATTCTGCAAAGAATGACAACCACCGCGCCATTCGTTGTGAAAGGTGCGGGCTGTTCACTGCCGTGCGTAAGGATGCATGGTCAGTGTAAACAACGAAGGGTCTATCTCCTAATAGATAGACTCTGAACTTCGCGAGTGCATACTTCATGGCAAGGAGTTCCTTGTCATGCACGGGATAGTTCCGCTCAGCTGGTTGCAGCTGACGCGACTGATAGCAGACGACGCGTTCAACGCCTTCAAGGTCGTACTGCATTAATGCACAGCCGATTGCGAAATCGCTGGCATCACAGACCACATGAAATGGCCTGTCCTAATCGGCTATTGCTAGGACTGGGGATTGTATCAAGCTCTGCTTGATACCCTCAAAGGAGCGTTGACATTCAGCGTTCCATAACCACCTCTCGTTCTTTTCAACAAACGAGAGAGGTGTACAGTCATCTCGGCGTAATTGCGTGAATACTTATGCAAATACGCCGCTAGCCCAAGGAATTTTCGAAGACCTTTGACATCGACCGGCACGGGCCAGTCGGTGATCGCCTTGATCTTTTCGGGATCAGGACGTACACCGTTCTTACCAACGATGCACCCAAGAAGTGGTATTTCGCTTGCTGCAAATATACACTTCTTGAGGTTAGCATACAATTGATGCTTTCGCATGATTGTAAGAACCTGTCGGACGTGGTACCTGTGAACCTCAACGTCCGACTTTCCATCCATAGCTCGACTATGGATGAATACGTCATCGAAATAACTCGGCGCGAATTCTCGTACTGGCCTCAACAGATGTGATACACGCCTGTTGAACGTGGCAGGGGCATTACTGAGCCCTTGTGGCATTACTAGCCATTCCCAGAGCATGCCGCTAGGCGTGCTAACTGCGGTATAGGGTATATCCCGTTCCCGCATTAGGATTTGATAGAAGCCATCCATCAAATCCATGGACGAAAAGATGGTACTCTTTGACATACCATCAATGATTACGTCCTTCCTCGGTATCGGCGTCTGAGCCGGTACCGTTGCAGCGTTCAACTTGTTCCTTAAACGCGTGCACTATCCGCCACCCCCCTGTTGCTTTTCGCACACAGAAGGTCGGAGAGCTATGTGGGGAAGTTGATTCCCTCACATGGCCCGCTGCTAAACGATCGGCAAAGAACTTGTCGATCGCAAGTACTTGTTCACGAGGCAGTGGCCACTGCTTCATGACACAGTACTTCGAGCCTGGTTTAAGCTCGACTTCGTGTCGAATACCTTTATCCTTCGGTAATTCGCACGGAACAGTTTCAGGGAATACATCCTTGAATTCAACCAAATCTTCATAGAGAGGATTTGTCTTGAGCGATTCCCATGATTGGGAGTCATATCGCTCAATTCGTGTCTTTTCATCTAGGACACTCTCGTCCATAGATGAACTACTGAGAAGTCTCTCCTTCTCAGTAAACATTGTTGCTGACCTTATGTCGGCTACATACTCGTCTTCAGCGATGAGTATGCAGATCTGCTTGACTTTGCCACTACGCAGATCACGCAAGAACCTTTTATGTTCGAGCGTTGGCAACTGAGTGATCTCCGAAGTTAACTTCGGAGGCGCAATCAGATCAAGTGTATAAGCGCCTACACATGATCCGTTATTGACTAGGACATTCAATGTCTCTGTCATTTCCTGGGGACTTATTACCTCAGGCTTTGAAGGACTTATTCCTTCGTCTTCCCGGGGACTTATTCCCGCGGGTTTCGGGGAACTTATTTCCGCCGTATTTGTAATCTTGGGACTTATTCCCTTTACTTCCTCTAGCTGGGGTTGCGCAACCACAGCGAGATCCTCTACGAAAGGCTCTCCAGTCGATCTAGGATTATCGTTTCGCTTAACCTGAGCGATCGATTGTTTCTCTTCTAGATGTTCCCCTCTAGGGATACATCTTTGTCCCAGTCCACCCGACTTATTCGAGTGGTGGACCTTCGGCGCAGCCTGTGTTTCCTCACAGCCGCCGGAACTTTGCTCCGAAGTGTAACCGTTTGGTACACTAAGGTTTTGTGCAGTCGTACTAACGACCGTACCACAAGTGAGGCCATCGCACTCACTCGTAGTACATCCACACGCTTGTGGACTCTCCAAAACGTTCATCAGATGGCCATCTGATGAGCAAGCGGCAGGCATCGTTACTGTTCGATGTTGCCAGTTTACTCGTGGTTCGTACCTTCTGAGCCAAAATATTCCAAGGATGACATCAAATTTGTCATCCAAATCCAATACGACAAAGTCATCATCATATTGGGTATCTTCTAGCGTATAGTGGATCTTCACTATACGCTGCATGACGGTTACGGATGCGCCTGTCGCAAGACGTACCGTCATCCTCGTCGGAGGTGTGTCACATTCACTGAGCTTAAAGTGACCATCTTCTAGCGATTGGCGTTGCACAAAATTGTTGGACGCCCCACAATCGACTAGAGCTCGAAGGGACAACTTATTCGTCACTTCGAGTTTCAAGGTAATGAGGGAGATCTCATTACTTAGAGCAGCAACGCACAACGTTTGTGTGTTGGGAGCAACCTTCATCAAGAGGCCTACAAATTCTCTTGACGTTGCTAGACCAGTAGGGTGCTCCGCACCTACTGATCCTGTCCGTTTTTTACGGTCTATCCCGTTGTTGCGTCTTTGCACCAACAGCGGACCCGCGTCCCTGCCCCTTTCTCATGGGTTGACGGTCATTACGCCCAGTGTTGCGAGACACTGGACGAGGGGCACTACACTCGTAAGCGTAGTGTCCTGTCTTTTGACGTCTGTTGCATTTCTGCAACTTCTTTAGCCTGTAGAGCGAGCCTTCTCGCTCTCTACATAACAGAGTTCCATCGGCTCTGGACCTCCGTTGTCATATCGTCTCGGTGAAAGACATGATGTAGAGCTGGCGCGAGCCTGTCTCAGACTGAAGTCTTTCTGCTCCGCAATTGAAATGGCTTGTTCTAGTGAATCTAGTTCAAGCCGGAACAGGTGAGTCTTGACGGGACCATCCGCAAGACCCTGCATGAACACCGAAACCAACGTGTGTTCATCCACCGGATTGGAACTTATACAACTCGTGAGATGTCGTATATGTTGAGCGTAAGCGTGCACATCACGCTTACCCTGCTTGAGCTTCAAGAGTTCGGTTCGAGCTCTGAACTCAGCTCTAGGCGGTTCAAACGTTTGTCTGAGCCGCGACTTGAAGACTTCCAACGACCCAAACGCGTATGGGTCGTGCAGCTTGAGCCCCAGTGCCCAAGTCTTGGCACGTCCTGCCAGATTTGACTGGGCAAATGCAACTTGCATATCCCCGTCGTCGATGCGACGCGCCCTTATGGCGTCATCCAATTCGACGAACCATCTCAAGAGGGAGTCTTCTTCGACCCCCTATACTTTGAGATGTCAATCTTCAAAGTCTCGGGCCGACGCGAGTGCATCGACCCGCCAGCAGCAGCCTGCTGCTGTCTCAACAGTTCAAACTGTTGAGCACCTTGTTCTCTCAACAACTCTGCTTGTTGAGAACCTTGTTGGTGAAGCAAGGCTACTTTCTCGCGTTCTGCGTCAAGTTCATTTTGAATGAACTTGGCGATAGTAGCATGTTGGGCATCTCTATTGAGAGCCTCTAGCATGACGCTAACAGCATGGATGCCCATGGTCGAACCCATTCGTTCAACCGCATCCCATTCGACATCGCTCAAATGGGAGTAGCCGTCACGCGTAGCGTGAAAGCTTTGGTCATCTTCATCATCCAACATATTCATGTTGGATGTGAACGCGGTCCTTGGACGGACTACGAAGTGCTACCAGGTGTAACGGGGCACCCTGGAAGCTTGTACTGGTGACAGTACAAGCTACTTATTCTGATAACAGAATAAGGCGGTGCCTCGTAACTTCACGTACACTCGTACGTGCAGAGGAAGACGGTAAGAAGAAGCGAGTACTTGGTTAGAGTAAAAAGTAGAACTGTATTTATAATAGTTAATGTCTGCAATAAATCACTATTTATCTTCATCTAACTATGTCTAAATACAAATGTGTAAATCAGTTATCTGCTCACCACTCATTGCGTGCGTCTGTCGTGGCGCGTCTTCGTTGGTTGATATAATGGCCTAAATCAACCAATTAGGAACTACTTGGAAGTGCTACAGAATATTGTCCTTATGCCACTATTCAGAGAATATAACTCTTATAGTTATATTCTATTAACAATTTCTTATAAATTGTTATGTAACGATTCACCCCGTTACAAAGTTCGTCGCTGGCTCAGGTACGTCGGAACGCCGTTTAACAGGCCCGTGGTTACGTCTCACGGGGATGGAACCGTTTCGGTATTATCCCAGGTCGAGCAAACGTTGCTATCCAAGATACCCGTGGTAACGAAGAATCGCATGAATTCAAGTATGCGGTTTTCCTCGAAGAGATGAGGAAAAATCAAGACTTGACAAAGCTCGCTGACTGTCTGGTCTCTCACCTACACACGAGACTGGTTAGGGAGAAAAAAGTGCTACCGCTCCACTTCTTACAACAGCTAGAACGTGAGAAAGGGACGGACCTAAAGCTGAGTGCAAAGGATTCACAGACCCTTGCTGTGAAAGCCTATTTTGTCCACTGTGCCCTACCGGATGACATGGAGGATTTGGAGGTCCTCGGGCGGGACTTGATGGGGAAAAAACACTTTCCAGGAAAAGGCGCGACAGCACACGCGTTTGTGTGGAACGATATGAAAGCACTTAAGACTTTGATGGAGGAGTGGAACAAGCTGCAGGTGTAACTGAAAAGTAATACATTGTTGTATCGAACAGTGAAGTGTGCATGAAATGTCGCGTGCATAGCGTCGTTTCAACGAGTTTGGGTCCTTCTACTTCGAGGTGTCGGTAATCGAGCAAACGCCTGCTACGATACCAAAAGTATGTGACGTCCTCCATCACCTCAACATAAAACACCGGAAGTAACGCAGCTTGTGAAGATGTAGCCCGTTTAGAAGTGCAGTATGGAGCATACAGCTGGAATTTGGCAGGCTGAAACCACGCCTACTGATCGATTGGTCATCGTTTCCGAATAACACTGGTGTGCAATAGCGACAACCACCTTCGACATACGATGCACAGCTTGGACCGCTTAGGTACCACATCATCGACAGTGATGCAGGAATCTTGCCGATAGACCTGAAACTCAGCCTGGTACAAACCATTTCATCTGACAAAAGTATCAGCGGTGATACTGCACAAGGCAAACACGCCGTATTACGTACACCCAGCATCAAACGTGCATGAGCACTATCGGCCACTGATATGAATGCGAGGCAAACTGGGTTGGCAGTCAAGTTTGTTCATCCGATTCCCGCGCGTGATGGACAGCAGGCCTACTTGTTTACGAAGCATAAACTCGAGTAGACACTGCTGTTCTTTGCGCGCAACAATGGCGTGTACCTATGACAGAGAATAACAAATAGATCTGTTGGCTATTCTTCCGACATGACAAAGGGGCTTCGTACCGTTTATTCTTGTTGTACACGTAGTCACTGCGCTCACACGAATTTCATCGACAATCAGACCATTGGTGGTAGTTGAGAACGGCATTACCAGTGACTGCCACACACACACAACTCGTCCCCATTTCCACGACGTTCCCACCGTAAATAGTTCCGCCCGTACCAGATGCAGCAGGTTGGTTCACTGACGAAAAGGCAGCGACAGCACCGACGTTCGTACTCGAGCTGTCCGCCAAAGCAAAGCGTGGTTCTCAGCATTCCTCCGCGAGTATACCACTATGTACCAAACGGCGGGGGCAAGCTTGACGACGCCGACTCTCTCATGTATCGAGAGTGCTGACTTACAAGTAATTCAGGAATTCCATGTGCTGGCATGATGTTCATAGTTCGAGGCCTCAAGCAGCTTACACCGACGCCGTGATGCCCAACCTCATCCATAAGACTCGTCACAGCCGCGTTCAACGCCATATTATTGCTGATCCATACACTGTTAGTAAGCACACCTGTATCAGAGTGGATCAAGAATTACACAATCTTCTTGTGCGACGAGAGAAGAATCGTTGCTCCTCTCTACAAAAACTGCCGTCGTGCCCTTGTCAATGGCCTTGCCGAAAGCCAGCGCCAACACACTCCGTCCCCATGATCACTCCTGTATCACACTGTATCTCTTTTCTATCACCCTTCACTACCAACCATTTAGCCGTCTTTGTCAGTGCTACTATGCCGTTGTCACTTGCATCCATGACTTGCATCCACGCGTCCCGTGGGATATCCAAAAATACTTTTTTTGAATGCTGTGCGTAAAGCAAATGCTCACAGAATGCACAAGACTGTTGCACATGCCATGGGATACATACATCGTTTGATAACACTTACATCGTTCTAAACTTCACAGGATGATACGAAATGCGACGTGGGACTCGTGACATCTACACGTTAACGTACTCCGGCTGCGCAATAATTGACTTGATACTTCTCACTGGATACAGTATCAGACAATGCAACCACACTTGCCTTAACAGACTGGAACGACTAGTTACGAATGATCGTTCGTGAGGTTTACCATCAGAGCGTGCTCGCCCTAGAGCAACATGCCGGTCGAGCTCACTGAAAAAAACATATTTACAACCTTTTTGTTTTATTCGCGCGGTGGCAGATTAAAATCCGCAGTATTTAATTTGAATCCAAATCCCGTCACGACGCAACGCGGTCGTACAAAAAAGTACCACCCCTGAACCATCATGAACGATGTGTGTCGTACCGAGAGGTCCCTCCCTCTTCAGGACATTGAACCGGTCCTTTAACCGCAAACCGTCCGGATACCCTGGCCTTCGCCCTCACTCCCTCTAATTTAAATCGATTAATCAATCCAAGCACCTGCCCTACTCCGTCGTGACCTCACGCTCGTCACCTCCTCCTTCCTCCTCCCCCATCGTCTTTCTCCAGCCCCATCATGATGCGTAAAGTAACTTACGAACTGGGCCGCTGCGCTCGCGAGACGGGACAGGCACTCGACCGCCTCGGTCTGCGCGTTTTGAACGACCACTCGTTCAAGGAAAAATGTACGACCGTGCTCTCTCCCTCTCCGTCCGTCGCTCCTGTCCAGTCATTTTGTCTCGGAGCTCTTTGAAAACAACGAAACGGCTGTTTTCTTTTTTTTTAACTGGATTTGTATCATACTATTGTGGTTGTTCTCTCTCTTTCTCTGTGCGTCTGTATGTGTGCCTTCTGATGCAGTTTCCCGCCACCGTCAGGTCATGGCTCTGTACGACAAGCGTCCGAAGATCGCCCACGACGTGTGGGTCGCTCCAAACGCCACGGTGGTAGGCGACGTTGAGATCTGCAACGATGCCTCGATCTTCTACAACGTCGTGATCCGAGGCGACCTCAACCAAGTGCGTATTGGCAACCGCACGAACGTGCAGGACCGTACAGTCATCCACACAGCGAGCTCCACGAGTCCAGGCTTAGCCCCAGGCGCGCACATTGGCAACGACGTCACTGTCGGCCATGGCTGCACGCTCTACTCGTGCACCATTGAGAACAGTGCGCTCATTGGCATGGGCACGATCGTTCTCGATGGTGCCCTCGTCGAGTCCAACACGATCCTTGCAGCTGGCAGCGTCGTGCCGCCTGGACGCCGCATTCCTGCGGGACAACTCTGGGCGGGCAACCCGGCCAAGTACGTGCGCGACCTCTCGGACGACGAGGTCGCTGATATTACCAAGCAGGCCAGCGAGTACCGGAACATCGCCAGCACTCACAGTGACGAGTTTTTGCCGTACGGCACGGCATACTTGGATGCTGAGAGGATTAAAGCTGCGGGTGGCCAACTGTAGAGCGTCTTGGCTGCTTTGGACCGGGTATGGGTGGGGTACTCTTCTTTTCTTGTCAGCAAGAGGAGAAGGCGCGACGAGTTTGTAGATGTAAAGACGGTCACGCTTGTTGCCGAAGTGCTTTTTGTCGCCAGCAAACCGACAACGTGTTTTTTCATCAAGGTACAGGCATAAACAGGCACGCAGAATGTCAAACAGTCGTTTACTCGTCTTCATCAGTGTGTATCCTCCGACGTTTCTGCTTCTTTTGACCGCGCTTCTTGAAGCTGACGTTTGACCCGCTTGCCATCTCTTTACTACTTGATGCTACATGGCCAGGCGCAGTTGCATCAGCATTACTGTCAAGGTTCAGGCCCTTGTAAGTACCTCCCCATGGGTTGAATGCACCCAGTGCATTGTCTCCTTGTGAAGAAAGATTCTCTAACGACTCGAGACACTGCTGCTCTTCGTTACGACGTGCTGTCTCGGCTTCCGCTTCCTTCTCACGTTGTGCTACAGCCTCTAAACTTTCGTCGATTTGCCGCACTTCCACTGTATTCCATTCGCCCATGCCTGTCGTTTCATCGATCACGACAGGTGTCCACGTTGGTGATTCTGCTGCTCCGTGGTTACGCCATCGCTCCACCATTTTCTCGGCAGCTTCTAGCGTCACGTTTGCCGGCAACGGAATCCGCAAGCGGTCTGCTAGTACATTATGTTCAGTGACTGGCTTCCGCTTGTCTTCATTTTCGGCACACTGTTGTGACGACGGCGACATGTAAGCAATCGTAAAGCGTCTGAAGCTCAACTCGGTGTTCAAGATTGTATGCACCGTAGCCTGTTCCACAAGAGCATCTAGCCACTGCTCTTGTTCTTCGACCCATATCTGACACGCACTCCCAGAGTCCAGCTGGGTCTCGTGCTTTTTGCCTTCTAGATACACAATGCCTTTCACCGCGTACACGCCCTTATCGTCCTGTTCTTCCACTCCTTCTTCTTCTTCTTCTTCGTTAACTTCCTCGTTCTCCTTTGAATTTAATCGATCCAAAGCTCCACGAGCCCATGGCTGTCGATGCTCTAGTCGTGTCACTGACACTGCATCCCCCTCATTGCGGTGTTTAACAAAGCAGGAAACCGCTTTAATTTGAGTTGGTCTGAAAGGAGGTAGAGAAGACGCAACGGTCTGTCCAGAAGTAGAAACCTGAGCTTTTGTGCTGCAACGGACCAGATCTTGTTCAAATTTGGCATGTGCGGCCTCTTCAATCCGCTGTAACTGGTTCTGGATCTCCTTTTGTGCATTTTTAGCATCTAGTTTAGTCCGGCGATTGAGTTCGAGCACTTCTTCGACCTTTTCCTTATGCTTCCGACCCTGTTCGTGGTGCTTGATGCTCTATACAATAGGGATCATAGACAAGTATAAAGATCGTTAGCTGGACGCCCACACACGCATCGTACACAAGAGAACGGGATATCAAAAGAGAGCTAAGAGAGAGAGAGAGATGAAACGTACAGTCTTGTCACTTGGCATCCACACGTTGCAGTACTTGCAGCAACGCCGCTCTCGAGAGACCCAGTAGTCCACCATGAGCGAGCAATTCTTGTACAACAGCAATTGCAAAGGACAAATTGACCAATCAACGCAGCGCACACAAGTTCCAGCCTTCTATCAGTATTCGATTCCTTGTCAGAGTGACTTTATTATTTAGTCCCTTGCGAAAAATAATAGAAAGCACTTTTTAAATGCAAAATAAAAATGGTTGGCTGCCGACAGCCGCGTATTCTTTTGGAGCTCCTCAGTCGTAATTCTTCACGCAGAAAGCAGCAACAATGGCAACGAAACGCGGTATGTGCGAGTACCTCACTTTACTCTATCAAAATTCGTAAAGGTCGAGGCCCTCTTATTTATTGCGTGCTTGATCGTTGTTTATTGCAGGACGTGGTGGTGCCTCTGGCAACAAGTTCCGTATGACTCTGGGTCTGCCCGTGGGCGCTGTCATGAACTGCGCTGACAACTCGGGCGCCAAGAACCTGTACATCATTGCGGTGTGCGGTATCAAGGGTCGTCTGAATCGTCTGCCTGCTGCTGGCGTGGGTGACATGGTGCTTGCTACCGTCAAGAAGGGTAAGCCGGATCTCCGTAAGAAGGTCATGCCCGCTGTGGTCATTCGTCAGCGCAAATCCTGGCGTCGCAAAGACGGCGTGTTTCTCTACTTTGAAGACAATGCCGGTGTCATTGTGAATCCAAAGGGAGAAATGAAGGGCTCTGCCATTACGGGCCCTGTGGGCAAGGAGTGTGCTGACCTGTGGCCACGTATTGCTGCGAACGCCGGCTCCATCGTCTAAGCTTAGGAGAATGAGAAGGAAGATCAAAGGAAGCAGGCACGTTTTGGATACTCCGGTTGCTAGCTGTGTGCGTGCTGAGAGACACCTAGTGCTGCTTCCTCGCCAGCGAGGAAAACACCGACACATGTAATGACAGCGGATCATTGTTGCTCATTCTCGTTTGATCGTTGTATTCTGCTGTAGCCACTGACATTGCGCCTTCCCCATTAGCTTTTAGATACACCCCTCTCCAGTACGGGCCTCGCCTCGGTCTTCTTTCACCACACAGAGTGGCGAAATTGCACCTTAGCGCCTGCAAAATCTGATTTGATGAGTACAGCTGCGTATGCTGCACACAGTCGGCAGTATTTTCTATTGTAATACGCAATCGAGCTTGATCTTTGCAGCTTCTAAGCGCATAAAGGCCTTGTAAGGATTGACGTACGATCACATCGGTGGAGCCATCGTTCCAACAAGATGTGCTATCGATCTCCATCGAAACTGGCAGCTACCAGAGTCAATATCGTGCTTTCATGATTCGAAGGGCACCTTTAGTGCAGGAATGGCAAGTGTCATCGCTCGTCTTTTACGGATGAAATTATCGCTTCTTCTTGACATCTAGCGCTGTCGGCAAGGTGCCAAAGTTACTAAGCAAGTTATGATACCACACGATCGAGGAAATGCAAGCCTTGCCAATCAGTCGCGGCAGGCTGTCGTGGTCACGGGCTTCACGCGATGCATTAGCAGATGGAGAATTCCGTTGAAATGACGATCGCTATCCTCCGCGTGAACATTTGCAAGCTTTTCACTACCTTTCTTTCGGTCATCTATCGAGCATCTACAAGGATCTTAATGCCTATCAAAGTCAATTGCTTTTCGTATTGCTAGCGCCTGACGAGATGTTGTGATCGGGTCGTGGTAACATTGTAAGCTCTGTATACTCGCAGCTGCAGAACCCTCACAACGCAACCCTCCGACGTGAGATGCCATTTTCTCTATGAAAGAAGAGATGACAATAGATAACATGACTTCATTTGCTACCAGCTTATATTTCCACATCAAAGAGAAGTGAAAATGCATCAGAGCTTGGAATCGACTGCTTCAAACTGCAGGCCATAGCCGAAATTTCAAACTTGGTACAATCACTTGGCGGTTCATCCTTCATCTGGAACAACGTCTCACTTTCCACTTCATCAATCGACGACAAGGTCGGCGTCATACACGTTCCAGTAGAATCGCAGCTCGAGCCTGCCGGTGGCGCAGACGGAGACGGATTGGTGATGCATGTTCCCCACTTTGTGAGCATCGACCGCTGAGCAACGTCACCCATCGGAGCATTTTCGATCATCGTAGCAGTCGCTCGCACCGTATCATCCATCTGGTCAAAGACGAAGGTTGAGTCTGCCGTATCCCCAGACGGAGACGAAGTTGTGATGCACGTTCCCCATTCCGGGAGCATCGACCTTTGAGCAACTTGCCCTAGAGGTGCATTTGTAGCGGTACCGGTCGACGCCAGAAATCCGTCACCGCATACATCATAGAGCGAATCAAACGGCAGCTCATCCAGGCCAAAAGGAGGTTGAGCTGCTGGTGTCGGGTCTGACACCAGGTCACTGCTTACTGAACGATACAAATCGTCGTCGCTTGCAAACCACGCTGCCATCAAGTGCTGGAACGAATGATCCGACCTCGTCTCGATATCGTCCAGCTCAGAACCTGGGGGCGTCGACAAGTCGCTGTTCAGTCTGCAACTGCCCATTCCCATCGGATCCAATACGTTATCAATCACAGCTTGAGCTTTCAGCACACCTTCTTGGTACAACTGAGTACACGACATGGTCAGATCAAATTTGTCCACATGGGACACCGAATCGGGCGACAAAGCCCCGCGACCATCACCGGAACCACCCGACGAGCTCTCGCAGCTCATTACTGAGCTCTCAAACCCATCAGCACCCGGTACAGTGATCGAACAAGAAACCGAGCCGCTGAGGGGAGAAATGTAGGCTGAAATCGTCGTTTCCGATGCACACCCTTGAGTTCCTCTTCGTGCCGCTGCGTCCTCATTCTCACGAACAGAAGCATCACCACTTGACAGTATCACGTTTTCCTTCCCCTTCTTGGCTGACTTGGTCTTGCGGGGTTGCTTCCTCAACTTGGATCGATTCGACTTTGGGGAGTCCCCGCGTGAAGAAACGCTGCTACCCTCACGTGCACGCTTCCCCAGGGTTTTCAGCGAAGAGTGCCAGTGATTTTTCACACTATTGTCCGTCCTACCTGGAAGCGCAGCAGTGATCTTCGCCCAGCAATTCCCCAGTTGAGCCTGCAGTCGTAAAATAATTTCATTCTCCTCGTCGGTCCAGGGCGTTTTCTTGATCGACGGATTCAACTGGTTGTGCCATCTACAAACAAGTAAGCTTAGTCAATCGCCTCCATTCCGTGGCCACTACGCCATCAACTACACCATAATGTTCACCTTTCACGACATTGCTTGCCATTGCGGTCTTTCAGGTATGAAGCAATCACTGACCATTTGCTCGCTCCATATTTCTTCACCAAACGCATCATTTCCGAGTCCTCCTCTTCGGTCCAAGGTCGTTTTACAACCGTGTCAAGACCTTGTAGGGTACTCCATCGCTTGCTACACTCGGCAGGGGACCGGCGCTCAATGCGGCTCGAAATCGCTTTCCAGTTCTTGCCTCCGTACTGGCAAACGCCATCTCGAAGCAAGGAATCCTTCTCGAACACACCACACCAAACACAGCAATCAAACGTGAGCTTCAGCTTTTCATAGCGCAAAAGCTTCCTCAGCGTTATCAGTACTTCTTCCAGCGTCCAAGTTAGCATTTCATTGCTGCCGACAGCAAAAGACAAAGTGAGTGACGAGTTTATGTCGGTGAAGCCTTTGTCCAGTGGCTATGATCACTCACCTTTTTACACTCTTCTTGCGGTGGTAGGGAGGAGAGTGGCGCAGCTCCATTACGATCGCACAGTTATTCCTTCAGCTCGCACCGTGCGAAATGACTTGTGATGGCCGAGAAATGTTCCCAAAAGGTGCTTCATGAGCGACCTGGCGGAGCCATGATGAGTCGGGAATCTGAGACTTGCATTGACATGCCATTCAATCGAGGGACTCGGTTCCTTTCGCTTGAAATCGCATCAACGAAATCTGGGAAAAGTCGCGGCCGTCTCATCATTACGTAGTGGGCACCAGCCATTATTGTTTCAAAGGACATTGAAGTTGTAGTCGCAGACAATACTATTGCGAACGCCGCGTCCAGTCGATTCGAGAAATAGGGTAAACATATCGTCACATCTATATATATATATTTTAGCCAATAAGTCTAGTATCAGTATCGAACAGAGAGGCCTGTGAGTAGAGGATGGCCTGTGACGAGCATCTCGTCTCGAGTGTGACATGTGAGAAAGCGGGCCGTGATCTTCACATACACAGCGCAAAACAATATCAGAGAATGAGTCCGGAAATCAAAGAGTGACAAACATGGACGGAAAACACCAACCTGTGTGCAACCCCAGAGCACCAAAGAGCGGAGATTGTCGGCTCCATCGGTCAAAACGCCCAGTGCGTCCTCCCTGATATTCCGACAGAAGGAGATATCGAGCGTTGTTAAACTGGATGCGCAATGTTCCAACAAGGCCATCATCGCAGCATCGGTGGCTTGCTACGTATGCACCAACAAGAGCAAACGGCACGTACGCACGTGAGAACAAGTAATCGACTCGCACGCGACCTGCAGAAGCAGCTTACCGACACACTCGACATTTCGAGTCTTTCAAGATACGCTTTGGCTCCAAAAGCAATGTGCTGGAATGCCACATCTGTTAGCTCCAAGCAGCAGCGCATGGAAACGCGGCGAAGCGCGTGGCCATGATCTCGAACAGGTTCAAAGCACTCGTCGGTGATCTGGTGCAAGTCGGACACATCCATCTCTTTCAACCCACGACAAGCGTCAAGAATCCCTCTCACCGCTGTGTTGGTCAGTTGCGAACATCGTGCTACCGAGACTTCCTCTAGATCCGGTAAACTCTGTGCCAACGAGACAAAGAAGGCGTCCGACAGGCGTTCCAATTGGTTCAGCTTCAACTTCCTCAACTGACTCATGCTCTTAAGCGAGGCTAAACTCGCATCGTCCAGTTGTGGACACTCGGACAGCGTCAACGAGTGCAATTGCTTGAGTTCACAAAAGTAATCGATCGACTGCTTCGTGATCCGCTGATTGCACGAAAGTTCAAGCGACTCGAGCGACGGCGCACAGCGTCGCACAAGTCCTTTGCATCCTGCGTCCGACAGCCGATAGCATCCCTGCATCTGAAGCTCTTCCACAGTGTTCAGTGCAGGTCCGAGTTCCCGAATGACGCTGTCCGAGACACAGCGGCCACAGAGTCCAAGGCGCAGCACAGCCAGCACCAATCCTGTACCTGTCGCAGCAGCACACTGCGTGAGCGCCTGTACCATCGTCTCCTCGTCAATGTTCGAGCAGTCGGGAATGTCAATCTCCGTCACTCCTGGAAAGATGAACAAGGGCAAGACGTCCGGCAGCAGCTTCCGACGCTCAACAACCGCTCGAGCGACTTGATGCCGTGCACTGGCGTCAATGTACTCGAGCGTCGGCAGCTGTTCGACGTGCGTCGCCAGACACCTCGAGTGCCGTGTCTTTTAGCTTCTGCACCACGTCGTTTGCCGTCAAAACAGACGCACGAGGCACGCGTTTCGGGTGCCACTCGACGACCTTTGAAGACGGCGAGGTTTGGCTCTGCTGCAGCTGTTCGACGTCTTGGCGCTGCTTGCGCGCGGCTTGAGCTGCCTGGCGATTGTCATGGAGCTGCTGAGCGGTGGCAAAGTAGCCCGGCCACGCTTCCTTGTCGGCCGAAGGTGGTTGGGCGACGCTTGACGGGCGTTCGCCAGTGGCAAAGTACAGCGCCCGTTCTCTGGACACGCCGACTGTGCTACGGCCAGTGGTAACGTCGCGGACAGCTGCAGGTGACGAGGCATCGTCGACAGGGCTGCTGGAACGACTGCGACGAGAGCGCGGGGACGTAGGGGATGGAGCGCGGCACTTGCGCTTCATCGGGCGGAATCGAGAGTGTTGGTGGCGGGAAGTGGCAGGTACTGCACGGTGATTGGCTCGTTGTTCCCGCCACGAGAAGTCGGTACACAATGGATGGCGCCAACGAGCCGAGAAGGGTACACCCGCGTGGTACATGTTGAAGTTTGAGCTGACCACGGTCATGATGATGATGACGACATCACGACGATAGACTGAGCATGTGGATTCGTACGGCATCATCATCATCAGTCTGGGACAGACGTGGCATTGGTGAGATTCATGATGGCTTTTTCTGATCTTTAGAATGTGTAGGTTGGCGATTTCGTCTCGCGCAGACGATGGTCCCACATTCAGCTGAATGCGGTCGTATTCGAATCACATGAGAGATTACGAAACAACAGTTTCGTGCCAGCGATTTCCATAATCCACGACAGGTTTTCTTCGAATCAAGCAATCTATGAATGCAAACGAATGCACGTAAACGCTCTGCTTTAGCGATATCTCAGCATGAAGATAGAGGATTGCTTGCTCCTTATCTCCATGCTGAGATTTGCTGAAACTCGCCCTAAAATGGAAGTAATGTAGTCCAGAGAACTGAATCAGGTTCTAAAAAAATCACGTACCGATTTTAAGTTGATAGTGGCGAGGAAATTGATTGTGCTGTGTGTGTGTTTCATGATGAAAGTGTTGCTGTATTGCAAATGTAAAAGCTGCTCGTTGTTCGTAATGATGTTTAAACGAGACGATCCGAGAAAAGAAGGAGAAAGATGAGGGGCTCAGACTGTCTATTGTTGCTACTTATCACTAATAGGATGTCTGTTTGTGTGGTAACTACCTCGTATCATCTACCATGACACAGTCTTACTCCTCCTAGCTCTCCCATTCTGCTAGCTCATGGCGTCGCGCGTCACGGCGGGGCACTCCCAAAAGGGCCCGTGGAAACCGTCCGTTGACCAAGTCCGGGGTTAGATTCCAGTGTGCACTCTACCGGATGGCGGAGCTGCTCTCACGCTCGGAGCAATTTGATTCAGGTAACGGAGGACGCTTGACTAGGAGTCCTGTTACCACTGCAGTAGCCCCAGCGAGCCATCTTGACGTCATCCCTGACCATCACCTCGTAGTCGACTTCTTGCTCTTTGGATTGGATCGGGCTCACAACGTGCTCAAACGTGACCAGACGCACCACTGGGCGGAGAGTATCTGGCTCAGTGCTACTGTACACAAACAACCGGTACAGGGTCTCAACGGGGTCATCACGGTCTTGGGAGAGTCCTCTTCGTGGGACCATGCTCATGCTCAGCGAACGTGTCGGCGAGTTGTAGGCAGACCGCAAAGAGTAGGAACTTCTTCGTTTTGCAGGGGATTCGATATATCGTCGACGTGCCCTGCACCAGGATATCTAGCATACTGCTTCTCTATCGAGTCACACGCTGCGCTGCCTCCTGTAGCACCCACATCAAGGAGAAACCCTCCCCCCCCCTTTGACCTTGACCACGTGCGCGCATCAGTGTGTACATCGTACTATTTCTATGCAGGCTCAATTCGCGATCTAATCGAAGAGTCACACGCTATAATGCAGATACAACACACTTTGTAGTGCGTGTGAGGAACACCTAGCGCTAGTCACAGACATGGAGAAAGCAAGGTTGACACTTCGACATTGAAAGCCTTGAATAATTGTTCGAACAGCTCTTTTGGCGCTAACGCTAATTACTTGATGCAAACATCCTTATCGTGAACACAACTTGTTTGATACTGAGCGCTCATCATTGTTTAATCGTCAAATGCTGTCAACACAACGCGGCATGACTCATACAAGCCTGGGCTCATACTAAAAGAAGTGATCTCGTTTATGAAACAAAGACAACATTTGATGACGCTAATGTGCTTTCCTCTGGACAAGTCCATGTACTTAATCTGGACGAGCAAGCGTCCGGCTATTTCCCAACTGTTCTTCGCTGAACCGGTTCAATTTAGCTCAAGTTCCACGCTATTTCTGCGAAAAGTACTCGATAACAGACCACCTCACGAGCAGCTTGCAGCGACCGTATGCTTCAGTAGGCGTTAGCGCATTATGCCTTCGTCCAGAAGTGACATCATCAATGACGGCAGTTTGGGCGTATACGTGTTTTGCAATGTCAGATGTGGATTTCGATAATTCGGACTTCTAAAAAAACAATAAAGACATGACAAACGCTACGATAAGCTTGCTTTACCACTCTAAGAAGAAAGGAAGCCACGATGCATCACTAGCTGGTACGACTTCCTATAAAGCACCACTCAGCGTGAATTATGCGCATCATCAAGGTTGTTTTCTGACGGAGAGCTCCATGCTTGTCAGTTTGTTCGGTCCGACAAAAGTGTTATTTCTGCATCCAGCTTTCGTAGCTTTTGTTTCGCGACATCAAGTGGCCTGCCTCGTGGTGCTGTTTATAGCACATCACGGTAGGAGAGGTGCAGTCACAGCATTGCATTAAGACAGTGCAACCTTTCACGTGCCCGTCCACGCGATGGACTAGTTACACGGATAGACGCCAACTCTCAGTTGCCAGTGCATTTAGGCCTGACTTGCTTGAATCTAACCATCGAACAAGAAGCCATTCAGGCCGAGCAAATTGAGGTGCATCACATGACTATTTTTCGCTTGCGCTTTTGCATATACATCGCCAAACGTCCATATGTCAGTAAGAAGGAGTTGCCTAGTGGTCCAACACGTGCGTGCGGCTGGAGCAGAAAGCAAGATGCCAAAATGCAATACTGTGCGAGGTTAAAGCGAAAGAAAAGTCCGCAAAAGATCGTGTGACTTTTACGACAAATCCTTTTTCTTACGACGCGATCCGATTGGTCAATGAAAGCTCCAACGTTCGGTCGCCACATATCCTGTGTCACATACAAACTGCCACATCACGTTGAAGCACGCGCAGCAAACCGTCCTCGGCAAAGCAAAAGGCGCAAGAATGTAGCCATCATCAACCCCTCTCTCTCTCTCTCTCTCTCTCTCTCTCGAGGAATAACTCAGTCACCACCGACCTCCCCATCCCCACTCTTGAATTTGCTCTCTCCGACGCACTCGATCCCAAGAGCTCATTTAACCTCCCGGCCTACCCCCCTCCAATCATGTCAGACCAAGTAGCCATCGGAATCAACGGTTTCGGTCGCATTGGCCGTCTCGTCGCTCGTGCTGCTATCGAGAATGGCAAGACGAAGGTCGTGGCCATCAACGACCCGTTCATGGACTTGGACTACATGGCGTATCTGTTCAAGTACGACTCGACCCATGGCAAGTTTGACGGCACAGTCGAGACCAAGGACGGCAACCTCGTGGTGAACGGCGACGTGATCCACGTGTTTGCGGCCCGCAACCCGTCGGAGATTCCCTGGGGCAAAGCTGGCGCCACGTACGTGTGCGAATCCACGGGCGTGTTTACGACCACGGAGAACGCCAAGTCGCACATTGACGGCGGCTGTAAGAAGGTGGTGATTTCCGCCCCTCCCAAGGACGAGACGCCCATGTACGTCATGGGCGTGAACCACAAGGACTATGACGGCTCGGCCCACGTCGTGTCGAACGCGTCGTGCACGACCAACTGCCTGGCGCCACTGGCCAAGGTCATTAACGACAACTTTGGCATTGTCGAGGGGCTCATGACGACGGTGCACGCGACGACGGCGACGCAGCTGCCAGTGGATGGGCCGGCAAGGGGCGGCAAGGACTGGCGCGGCGGTCGTGGCTGTGGGCAGAACATTATCCCGTCGTCGACGGGCGCTGCCAAGGCTGTGGGCAAGGTCTTGCCGGTGCTCAATGGCAAGTTGACGGGCATGGCGTTTCGGGTGCCCACGCCAGATGTGTCGGTGGTGGACCTGACGTGCCGATTGGAGAAATCGGCGTCCATGGATGCCATCAAGGCAGCGGTGAAGACTGCGTCTGAGGGCGAGCTCAAGGGGATTCTCGGCTACACGGAAGACCAGGTCGTGTCGAACGACTTTTTGCACGACAAGCACTCGAGCACGTTTGATGCGGACGCGTGCATTGCACTGAACGACAAGTTTGTGAAGCTCGTGGCGTGGTACGACAACGAGTGGGGCTACTCGAACCGTCTGGTGGACCTTGTGCTGTACATGGCGTCGGTCGACAAGTAAGTAGCGACGGGCGGACGCCAGTGACTGGTGGACTCTTTCAGTAATGGAATGATGAAGAGACTTGTTGCAAAAATACACTTTGTACACGACGCCCACACCACGGTTATACGACAAATATCTCACCACTGCATCTATATACGATCGCTATCGCACAACAATCGGCATCTATCCACAAAATAATAATTGATTTGACGGGTGACGGCCTGGTCGTGATTCAGAACACAATAGGGTCGAGGGGTGGACTCTGGCGAGTGGCGCAGTAAGCTGACTTCCAAGTCTCTGATTGCGGGTTCGAACCCCCCCGGGGGCCGAAACCGGAATTGGTAACGGGTGAACAGCTGAATAACCATGCCTTCCACCAACAAACCATCTGGGAGATGTCGTAAAAAGTATAATGTGTCGAATTCAACAGGATAGGCTCGATCACAAAATGTAGCTGTGCAATTCTGTGCCTTGCTCGAAGAGGTCATTATCGCTGGGTCGAACGCATCCGATTAGCGTTTGGTGAAAAGTGAACCTTTGTTGTAATCATTTTTGTACCTTTTTCGACTAAAACCTGGCCTGTAGCCATTTCTGAAGAATACGTTTAAGAAACCTGATTGCATCCTACGTTTAGTGACGAGTGCGTCGTGGCCGTCGGTCTTGTCGTTCAGGAAATAAATCTTCAGTCGTTCATGGCGTGTTTGACGCAATTTGCCCGGTGAAACACCATACATTCGTACAACAAATGCAGATTGCTGTGCAGTATTTGTCGTACAAACTATATTGTGGTGCGATATGGGTACGTTCTGTGGGGTGTATGTAGTAAAAGTGGGGTGTGTACTTTGCAGAACCCGAATCCTATATTATGCATGTCGACACGTGAAGCGGACGATGTGATTAAACAAGCGAAAATGTTGTGTATGTATCGCAATAATGGCACGACATTACAATGTAAGTATACAGTCAATCCTCGGATGCAGTAACTCGTACGCTTAGTGGAGAAAAGTCTACGAATCAGCCGAGTTATGAGTTACACGAATATCCGAATTTCTTTTTTTCTGATTCGGAGAAGTATATAAATCAGAGATTACCCGCTCCGAATTTCGTCTACCCAAAACCGATTACAGTAACCAATGGACAAAGGCTCAAGAATTGCGAGCCCAAGGCCAAAAATACCGATGATCTAAATTGATCCGGCAATTTTAGTATCTAGCAAGTTGGAGTTCACATCACCCGGAACACCATCTCTCCTATGATCAAGGAGCGCACTTGTAACGGGAAAACACAAAAGCTTGTGATAATCAGATACATGGGTGTGGTACGCAAAGAAAGAGATCAGTATGACTGATACGGTATGCTTTTGTATCACACACGCTAAGCGATAAAACCGTATCCTATTAGTTTTGGTTAGAGGATATCGATCAGAGTAGGGTTTTTATAGAGGCGACGTAGTTCTGGTATGGTACACAAGAATAACTGCGATGAGGACTATTTGATCAGGTAGCATAAATTTAAGCTTACAGACGTTAGTAAGGTTAACTATCGCTGTAAATGAGTAAATACATTCAGTTCCCCTTTTAATCAGTCTCAGACACGTGTCTTTCTAAGACGTCTCCGGTCGTAAGAGTAAAGAGCCTAATTAAGGCTAAGTTCTTCTTATGCATTAGTGCCACGTAATTTCTTGGAGCTGTAGCCCCCGGGAACCAGGACCAGAAGTTTAAAAGCCTGTGCATACACTAAGAGTTAAGGCTCACCAATTCAACAAGACTTGAGACCCTTTAAAGTATGTTTGGTCTCTGCAACGGGGTGGATCGTTGCATAACAATTTATAAGAAACTGTTAATAGAATATAACAATAAGAGTTATATTCTTAGAATATTGTCATAAGGACAAATATTCTGTAGCACTTACGAGTAGTTCCTAATTGGTTGATATAAGACATTATATCAACCAACGAAGACGCGCCACGACAGACGCACACAGTGAGTGTTAAGCAGATAGTTGATTTACACATTTGTATTTAGACATAGTTAGATGAGGATAAATAGTGATTTATTAACAGACATTAACTATGCTAAATACAGTTTTACTTTTTACTTTAACCAAGTACTCGCTTCTCCTTACCGTCTTCCTCTGCACGTACCAGTGTACGTGAAGTTCCGAGGCACCGCCTAATTCTGCCGTCAGAATAAGTAGCTTGTACTGTCATCAGTACAAGCTTCAGGGTGCCCGTTACAGTCACCGTCACAAGTACAGGATTGACACATTTACCCACCAACATAATTTTCTCAATAGGATGCTTGTAAATATACACGAGTCAGTTAGACTTTGCTTAAATTAATTCTGGTTAGTTTGCTTTAAAGATGTTCGTGCCAGAGTCTGCCGTCTCGTTTAAAACAAATTTACTTTGCTGCAGTTTGAGATCAATCGGTACTTCGTTTTACACTATTTAGCGGATGATTCTGCGAAAATTAAAGATAAAAGTCTGGTAAGGATGAAGGTATGTATTGTAATCTTTTACCGCTTCGGCCTTGACGTAGACCGAGGAAACATTAAAATGGTGCGCAGGAGCTCCCCACTTCGCGGTCACAGCTAGTACGAACTTCGCGCTAACCATGCACATCACTGCGTCAAAAAGCAGCGAATAGTCGCAAATTCGAAGACCTGCTTGTTTCAATGCGACCATTCACGCCTTGTAACTTTTAACTGAACCATCAGCTGCCTGTGTTTCTATGTCTTATTTATTTTTCAAAATAGTCATTTCTGCAGTCGTATTAACTGCCTTCCAGGTGCCATTAGATTTAGGTGAATCTAGTTACTCGTCGTAGGCTCGTTTCCACAATTCCCGAGCTCGCGCTGCGCAAAACCCCGCACCAAGGCTGATAGGATCAGAAAGTTCCGCGTAATTATACACCTCTTCTTTCGTTAATTTCTCAAAAGCAGCCAGGATTAGCTTAATAAATGCATCAGACTTCTTCAATTTACAATATGGCTCTCTCTGGTGGATAAATTCCTTTCGAGTACAACTCGAATTTTTTACAATTCCTTCAAGTTCTCATTCTGAGTCTACGCAGTACAAATCGGCAGTATCATAAGTCGCGTTTTGGGGATGACTTTTAGTTACACTCCTTCAATTACTGCTTGATTCGCTAGTGCGCTCAAAAGTTGCTCGTTTGCTTCAAAAGATACGGTCTCGAAGTTCTGCCTATGTCTGGTAATTACATTCGTTCGGCTTCTAGGCAAATGGACCTTGAACTATTTCGTTTCATCTTTTTTATACACGATAAAACGGAATAACCACGTTGACTTTATAGTTTTTTGTTCAGATCACAAAAACGGTATATTTGACCCAACAAATACTAAATCAGCAATATCTGGAACCCTATTAATAAGCTTTCCATGGGCGACCTAAGTTGGGGTGCCCCTAGTTGGCATCCGGTTCGAACGTAGAGGGAACATTAAGCAGCCAATACCAGGACGACGATGGCAGTGGGCTGCAGCACAGCAAGCACCGGACCATATTCATTTTGTTCGCTTTGTCGTCCTCCGCCTGATTCTTACCCTTAATTTTAGGTCTCGCTACACCCTTGCATCAGCAAAAATTGATTGACGTCGTTTTTATCCGCTTTACTGTTGGTTTGATAAACGTGAATGCGACAACTGAAGCGTTGTTTAAACAAAATAAAATGCTGGAATAGTTTGGTCGCCTATCTTTTGTGGGGCGCCAATAAAGCGCGGTAGTAATTTGACATGTGGTCGATGAAGTAAATTAATTACCGGTCGCTGCTGCAATCTCGGGGTAATATGGCTCCATTTGAGTTGCTGCAGATTACCGCACCAACACGATAGGTAGGTGCACTCTCACCTGCATCCATTTTAGGCTGGGAAGCGCGGGTGCGCTTGCCTTTGGCGTAAGTCAAACAAATTTTCTTTTCGTGTGGCTCGATAAGATCCCCATGTCGGGGTCTTTAGCCATGAAATCAACAGTGGTATACGCCAAATGATTAAACTGGTAATTAAATTTCATCACGGTGTGTCTATGCCCGCATTGAGCGCTATCACCAGCATCAGACACTGCAGCCATAACAAGAATCGTAACGAGAATCGCTTAATATGACCATATGCACCAAAACTTACTAACACGTCGTTCATCATAAGTAAGTAAAACACAGTATGATTGCTATCACTAGTGCTTGACTTCCTTCGCATTCATTTATTCGCACTCAAAATTCGTCAACTGCCCTTATGATAACGGTTTTGCGTCAGTTGAAAGGCTAGACACACGTTTTAACGAGTCACCGTGACAACCATATGACCCAGTCACACAAGTTTATCAATCTTACCTTAACGACCAAATTTACGTGGGTGCCATCAGCCTGTTTTGGCGCATCCCTTACTTCACCTACATTGGGGTCAAAATGTAGGGTAGGTTCGTATCCTAAGTGCCAACTAGTCCCTTAATCCTTTTTTTCGGCAGCCACGAGCAGCTCTTCATTAAACAGTAGTACACAGTGAGCCGCATTATCGCCGCTTGGCTTCTTGTTTGCCCAATTAGAGGTGAGGTTTTTTACCGACCTTTACACAGATATAGGTCCGAGTGCCCCTGTCGCTGTCTACACGCTCTTTTTGACCCATACTGTAACGGGGCACCCTTTGTGTGGGGTGCCACAAAACTTCATGTACACTAGTACGTGCAGAGGAAGCTAATGTACGCAAACAGCTAAGTTGAGTAAAGAAAAAAAAGAACTGTATTTAACATAGTTAAGCTATCAATACAACTTCAATCTTCATACAACTATATTAATCTACATTGTCGTACGACGACAACCTGCCCACCACTCATTACGCGCGTCTAGCAGCGGTTGGTGGTAACCTTGGTTGATGTGTCTTTTGCCAACCATTCCTTGAGCAACACATAAATGTTATCCTAGGAGGGATGTTTATCCTTCGATATTACCTATGTCGGGTAACATTGGAAGGAGGTTGTCACGCTAGACAATCTCTCTATTGACACCGTT